CATCAACAAATCTCGAATTGCTTCACTGAGGAAGCAGTCAAATCATTATCCTAATTTCCAGATGGAGAACTGAGGTGCTGCAAGGTGAACTAATTTACCCAACATCAGCAGAGGAGTTAGAAAGTGACTGCAGCCATCTCTGGCTCCAGATACACAGTCCAGCCACTAGACCCTGCAGCCTCATCAGTGGCAGCTAATAAGACTCGTGTTTCTGCAATGCATTTTTCTCCATTAGCAGTGAATAATTTGTGTTCTCTTTCTTCACAGCCATTAATATGCATTTTCAGCAGTGCCTCTGCCTGTGTTGCAGCTACGCAGCAGCTGTGACTGCTAGAAGGGGGCACAGTGGGGCGAAGTGGCACCTATGCCCCTGTGCTCTGCTCCTCCTCCTCCTCCTCCAGTGGCAGTCGGGGAGGCTGGGGACCGACCACAGAGATGTTCTGTGTGGAGCTCCTTGGGGAGCTGTACCAGCTGCTGTGCTGGCAGCCGTGGAGCTGCCTCTGGGTCTGCCTTGCTGTCTTGTCTCCTTGAATAGAATTGCTCACTGCCGGTTCATTTTCTTTCTCCTTTCCATTTGATTCTGTGGCACTTGTCTCCTACCTGGATTCCTCATCAACCATGCAATCTGGGGAGCCTGAGGAGGTAAAAGATCTGATAATCTGCATATTTCTTCTGTATATTATGGATGTGTCCCTATGCCATGCGTGATTCCATTTTTTTTTTGTGTGTAATCAGAACATCAGAGTCAGCCTGTACCAGCAAGGTTTGTGTTCTGAGTGGGGAAGGAAGAAGCCATTTCTGCAGAGACAGTCCCTGCTCTGTAGAGGTGACAGCATGTCTATATGTCCCCCTTTCTAACCCTGTGCTTCACCTCCCCATGCCCCACACTGCTCCTCAGCCTTGCAGATTTTTCCATGGCACAGCATGTTCTCCCTCTTGCAGAACTGGGGCAGGACTGTTTGAACAGCAATGGCTATGGGGAGTCCTTGAGGAACATGAATGTGTCTGCCTGGAAATCTGCATGTGCCATGGATGAACATACTTCTCATTCTTTGGAGGTCTTGAGGAAACAAATCACTTCATGGAATTGGCTCAAATTTTAATGATATCCATCCAGGTACCTTAGCACAGTGGTAGGAAAAGCATGTGTAAATGGTTGGGTTTTTGGTTCAAGGGCATGTGTGCTTTTTATGGATTATATTGAATGTTCATCATGAGCTTTCTGGCACTCAGCAGGGCCTGTGTCATGGAGATCAGATTATCTAGTCCTCACACTAACTAAAAATTTGCTGTTTATTCTCTAGCATTTTAGGAAACAAGGAGGTCTGAAATAGAGGCTCTCTTCTGAGCTGAAGTTCTGCTACCTCCATCACTGGATTCACCTGATTTATTCACTTCCTTAATGTTATTATTTCTTGCTTTCACCTATCTACTTTTGGTACACTACAACCATTTCAAAATCAAAATACAAGAGCATAAAACTAGCTATAAAATTACCAGAACTCTTTCCATCCCTTCCTTACCACTTGTGCAGGGCAGATGTCTTCTGAAGTACACTTCTACCTCCAGATATCAGGACATTTGGGAGAGGGATCGGACTCGGTGCTGGTGTGTCCTCTGTGGGATGTAAGCAGAAACAGTACCCGGGCAATGAAAGTATTTGAATTTTAATGATAGGACAGTGTGAAAAAACACTGTAAAAACACTTCCCTGCTTTTTGCTGGGGAAGTCTCAATTTGTCTCTTCGGCTGCCTCTGGCTTTTTGCCCGACATTCTCAGATCTGCTGGTGAAGGGAGACAGCAGAGCACGTTTGTCTTATTCCTCTTCCCCAGCACGAGATGCCAGACTGGAACAGATACGCCACCGCTCCTGGTCTAAGCTACAGAGGGCTACAGTCTACCCAGCTCTCTCCTATATCTGCCCCGATATATTCAGTAGGATGGGGCTGAGTTATGCCTCATTCACTGGCAGCATCTCCGCAAATCCACTGGAATGCTCCCGAAGCACTGAGATTAGTGCCTGTTTTGGCAGGACTGGCACACACAGTTCCACATGTGCAGGATCTCTGCCCGAGTCCCAGCACAGGATCGCCCTGCATGGACTTCAGAGGTGGCCTGGGAGCACTGAACATCCCTGGTGAAGATTTGACCTCCCATCTTGATGCATGCTTACCCTACTCCTTTTCCCTATTTGGAGGGGCTGTATGGTATAGAAAGCATTTAGGACAAAAAGTCTATAGAAGTGTGATACTAATAATATTTTACAGCTTTAATTACCATGATTGTAGTGCCTAGAGGCGTATGCAAAAACACTGAGTGGGAGGAGAGGAGGCAGCGCTGTGAACATTTTTGTGGTTTTGCTGGGCAATGCGCAATTGAGTTTTCTCATGGGAACCACAGCATGCCAGAGAGGAAAGCTGCCTCTGCCTCCTCATCTGCTCCGCTGGGATACTGGATCACACCCTGGAGTCCAGGAGACAACCACAGTCACTCGTTTCAGGTGAAAGCTGGGCTGCCCCTGCCCCTGCTCTGCAGAAGGACTCCGGGTGCTGCCCCTTTCTGCAAGCAATGGGTATTTTCCCTCAGGCAATGCCCCTTCGGTAGGATGAGCAGCAGTTTCACCTGGAGGATGATTTCAGGATTGGGCAATTGGCATGGGTTTGCCAGCAGCCTCAAGAGCAGCACTGCCGGTTCCTTGGTTGGGGCACACAACGCAGCCAGAGCTCTTGCTCCTGTCAGCCACGTCCATGTCATGCGTGTCCACATCATGCTTGTCCATGTCCCTGGGCATGGGCAGAGGTGAGGGGACAGACAGAGGGGCCATGGGTGGCTGGGCAAACCCCTCTTGCAGCTTTCCTTCCCCACGGTAGCCTGCCTGGCACTGCCAACAGGCCCAATGCAAAACGACCAGCTTGGTGGTCACCACTGACCATTACAGACACCACTGACAACCAGGAGGATACCCCAAGCAGGAATGCAAATTTTCAGAGTTTGGGTGTTACCAAATTAAAAGTATATGAAATAAAGATGCTTGCATTTCCCTAGCTACAGAAAGAAAACTTTTTAAGCTTTGTTACTAAATCAAATTGTAATTTTTAAGCATAGCCATGTAGTTCCTGCACCAGTGACTTGATGTAGGGTCGTTATTAAGATGCTACAAAGCCAGTAGCCTTCTGTTTGACAAACTGAAAGACATGTTCAGTTTTATCTGTATGTGGCTACCAAAGAGCCAGTCTGCAGCTCAGCTTCCCAGACAGTCCCTACTCAGATGAACAGCCGTGAGTTGCAACACAGCTTCCTGATAGCCAAGGGATTGATTGGAAGGCAATGAAGACTGGAAAGAAACCCTGTGTGATAAGTATTCCTGGCTGTGGGAAGAGCTGGATATCGCCTACAAGACAAGCATATTTTATTGAGGCTTTTTTCCCCCTCACTTTCTCATCCCCCCCCCCATCTCTTTTTTATCTGCACTAAGTCACTAAGTATAATTTACATTATTAAAACCTCATATTTTAATCAACTCCCCTTCAGTTAAATACATATATGGTATCCTTTCTCCTCACTCGATTTGACACTTTGTGTTTGATACACATTTTTGTACATCTGTGTTTTGCACAGACTAAAAAAACCTAGAATAAGAAATTCGAATGAAATCCCAGTACCTTAATAAAGGGGCCAGATTTTGACCCTAGGCTCACCAGGACTTCCATGAGGAGAATGAATGGGTTCTCCTACTGCTGCATTAGATGTTGTACAAAGAGGAAAACTCTACCAGTGGGTAATCTTATGGCGAATGGACATCAGCTCATAGTGCTGCAGGTGGAGATCCTCCCCTAAGTACCCCAAGCTGTGGCCATCAGTTGGTGTCCCTGCTGCACCCTGGAAAGAAGGGCTAAAAGTTAGATTAATCTCGTTAGTGGTTGGTAGTTTGAGTTCTGCCCTTTGTCGCACCACCCAAACCCCGGTCTTGAAGGCAGCAGTATTGTGGCCACTCCTCACCAGGCATAAGGATATCCTTCCCACACAGTGGGCACCTCAGGCCTGAATGGCGACTGCACCTATTCCTACGGCTGGTGTGTTTTGGTGCGCTGGGTGAAGAGCAGGAGGAAGGTTTTCATCCCAGAGAGGTGATGTATGGCATCCTTCAACCTGAGTGATGGGCGACGGGGGCTGCTCCAGCCCCGGCTGGAAGGTGTCACCCCCCCCGCGGATCCCAGCCCGGGGGCAGTTGTGTCAGTGGCACGCCAGTCCCAGCCGCGGGCCGAGCTGGCAAGGTCCTGCTGCCACACCCAGGCCTTGTCCCGACCTTCACCAACCCTCACTTTATCAAAGCCGTGCTCTACCAGAGCTGCTTTCATTAACCGTGGCGCTCACCACGCTGTGCAGCTGACACCGCCGCGGCCCCACTCACCACCTCCCTCACACGCGGCCTTGCGCTTAGACCCGCCAGCGGCCCAAGCCCTTGGGCTCCCAGCGCCCGGCCCGGGACTGCTGGCACCAGCCCCGGGACAAGGCGGCAGCTCCCCCCGTGCGAGCGGAAGGTTTGAACTCACGTTTCGCAGCGGGGGTGCCCGGGTCCCTGCGCGGGGCGGGTGGCGGCGCCCGGGTGCCGGTGCGCGGTGCGGCCGCGGCGGGGCGCTCTGCCGGTGCCGGTTCCGCCCCCGCGCGGCTGCCGACCCCGCCGAGGCGCTGCGTCACGCGGCAGCCCGCGCGTGGGAGGGCGGGCGGCGGTAGCGCGCGCGGGATCTCCCCATGTGACCGCGCGCGGGAGTGGGCGGTGTGTGGTGTGCGGGGCGGGGGGGGGGGGAGGCGGGCGGAGGCGCCGGAGGCTGTTCCCTCCCTCCCTCCCTCCCTCCTTCCCGCTCGGCCTCCGCTACACGGCAGGAGCGGCCGCGGCGAGGCGAGCTGTGCCGGGCGACCCCCCCCGCTCTCCTCCGCCCGGCGGCAGCAGCCAGGCGGTGGCGGAGACCGGCTCGCCCACCCGCCCCGTCGATGGGAAAGGAGGAGCCTGGGCCGGCGGCACGCAGGCGGGGGGGGCGCTGGCAGCAACTTCGGCAGGGCTGAGTCTGCGGCCCCGGGACGGCGTCGAGGGAAGCGCCGGGCATCCGGCGGCGGCAGCCTACAGCAGAGTACGTGCGGGACGGCCCGGGGAGGGGGTGCGGACAGCTGGGGCAGCGCGGCCCTGGCCCCGCGGGGTACGGCCGGAAGGAGCGGGCGGGTCGTGCGTGGGTGATTCCCGGAGAACGCAGCGCGGGAGGGACGGGGAGTGGGCGGAAAGTACCGGAACGTCCCCACCGCGCCTGCTGCCGCGGGGGGGCGGCGGGGCGGGACTGACGGGACGGGACAGACGGGGGCGGTGCCCCGTCGGCCCCGCGCAGGGGTGTCGGGGGGGGGGGGGCGGACGGACAGGGAACGGCGCTGTGGTACGGGCCGCCCCCTCGTCCCGTGCTGCAGCGTGGCGCCTTGCCCCTCCGCGGCTTCTCCCCCCCGCCGTTCCCCGCGCAGTGCTCCTCCTGCCCCGCAGCTCTTGCTGGGACGTGCCGGGTTGTCCGGACCCGGCGGCTCCGGGCGCCGCCGGCCGGACCGTGAGGAGGCTGTCCCGCTGCCCGGCACCCGGGCACCTCAGTGCAGCCTTCAGGGGCAAGCGGTCCCGGGGAGGCTTCCCGCGGGCGGTGGCCGCTTCCCGAGGGGTGGCGGGGCCGCGGCTCCGGGTTGTTCCCGTCAGCGGGCTCGGCGGATGCGAACTTGGTGCCGGGATCGCAGCGCTCCCCTGTGCTCGCTGCGTCGGTTTCCTTCGATTCAGCTCCCTTCGCGGCCCGGCTGGCATATGGGGCTGGAGGTAAACCCCCGGACCGGGCTCCGGTGGGAGCCGACAGCTCGCACCGGGCTGGCGGGAGTCGCGAAGTACTCGGGTTCTTTCTGTCCTTACGAGTTTGGGGGTGTTTTTTCGCACGTTTCAAGTTTCTTAGTAGTTGCGGCGAGATATACATCTGTATTTGGATGTGAAACTCACTTAATAGCTTGTATTTTGGCACATCTCAGAGCTAGACAAGACTATTTAATTTGCTAAGTCTCGCTTCTGCAGCTACATGTAATTTTCTTCTCCTGCTAAAAGTCCTTTGGAAACGCTGCAGAAATGTAATGAATATGCAAAGCAGCCAGTTCTCAAATCCGAATCCGGTTTGTCTTCAGAGACTTTTCAAAACGCCCAAAGTGATCAAGATATATTATGAAATAATCACTTTTACTTAAAATACAGGAATGTGATGTTTCGCGCTTTCTCCTTGTGCATATTCCTAATAGAGTTGGTGACAGCTCAAATATAATTTCACCTCAAATAAAAGCCTCTAAAAATCAATTAGGGTTGCTCAATCGGTTTTACTTCTAGTGCAGCCTTGAAAAGCAGGAAAACTGCAAGTAGAGTCCTTGCCCCATGCTTACATCCCACAGCTCCCGCGTTTTCCTTCTCCCGGTCCTTCACCCACGTCCACCACCTGCTCGCTGCAGCCATGTATCTTCCTGCCACCTCCGGGAAATGTGCAGCTTTGATCTCAGACCAGGCAGGACGGGAAGAAATGAGTGTTTTCCCGTGGTTAATGATACTGAGCCGGGCTGCCTCCGCTGCCGGCTATCTTGATAGAGGGAGCTGGTTGCAGGAATAGGTTGTGATTCCTGCCCTGGTTGTTTACAAATATTTAGTCGTGCTCTGTGGTGTTCTTGTGGTTTTTGTTTTCCTTTTTCCTAGGAGTTATGTTTGTGGTCAGAGTTAAGGTGACATCCAGCGTTTGGAGAGGAGGGCTCGGCATATGGGGTGATAGGCTGTGGATGTGAATGAGGTAATGTGGAAAACCAGAATGCACGGTTGTGGGTTGCAAAAGGCTGTGTGAAAATCTAACTTGTGATTTCCTGATTCTTCTGTGGCTGTGGCAGTATGCAACCTTGCATGTATTTTAAACAGCTTTGTCTGTGATGGGGACTTTCCTAGCATCTTTGTTTGTTCTATATGTAAAAAAATGTAGAAGACAGCTGTTCTTCCCTGTGCGTTCCCACACTCCTTGCTGTTACGGACAACAAGCAAAGCAGCGGGACAAGTTGCAGCTCAACTGCCATTGCTGCATTCATTTATTCCTGCAGACCTTTCCATGCCAGCTTTGTGTTCCTGCCTTTTGCCCTAAAAGGGTTTGCAGTTGGCCATGCCTTAGAAGCTCTACTCGTTCTCTCCTAAGGCAGCTGATCGTTCTGGTTAGCTTCTTAGGGTTTACCAGAGGACGGTTCCAGGCTGTTATTCCTGAACCAGACTAGAAAGCCTAAGACTTGCCGAGAAGACAGTGAAAGAGGGGAGCACACGTGGTGCCCTAGGGTCTTACCTGAGCTATTCTTCCCAGTGAGGAGCATACACAAGTTTCCTGACTGTGAGCTTGCCCCATGTCTTCCCGTTGTGTAATCTCTTCTCGTGCTCACCCTTTGCCCCAGAAGCATGGCCCCTGCTGCACTAAAAATGAGAGCAGCAGTGGTGGAAAGCAGTACTTTAGGTCTCTTAGATGTAGCTTAAAGGTCACCCAAAAGATGTATGGCACTGAGACTTGAGTGGGTGTGCTAAGGCTTTTCCATAGCCAGATAGGTAAGCAGAGCCAGGCAGCGGCAGCAGTGCCTTTGGGTTAATGGTCTCTTCCAGTCCTGCACTGTCTGAGCTAACCTTGTTTGTTGCTTGTCCTCTTCCTAAGCCTCATCTTACTCCTCCAGGTCAGCTAGCTTACCTCCTTTCCCAGATTTGTCGGCCGTGAGCTGAGCCGAGCTGGTGGAGCGGACTGGTAATGTCTAGAAAAGCAGTGGAGCTGTTGGCGTGGTGAGGTTCTCTCGGAAAGGGAAGGGAGCCTTCCCATTGTTAAGGTTTAGAAATACTTGGGATGTCATTGAGGTGAGTAAAGAAGGAACTCCGTTTAAATGAGGGGAGAAAAGAGGTCAGAAGGAGGAGTGTTTGAAAGTGCCTTTTCTGCAGAAATGGGTAGCAGTCATAAATGGAAAATTTGCATGGCCCTCTCAGGAGTTACTGTACTAAATTTGGAAAACAGAATTTAAAGTACAAAACAAAGGGATTTCAGTCTTGCTTTAAATGTAAATCTCAGTGCAGTCTGAACTGTGGACTTAATACTGATGCATCATAGTGCCTATTAATCCGGTTTCATCTGTCATGAGGAGATTTGTGATTAGAAGCCTCCAGGTAAAGGCTGCTCATGGACTGTTGCTGCTCTTCCAGCCTGTGGGCTGGAAAAATGAGCTCCATGCCTTGCCTGGAGCTCCTGAGCTCTGTGTAATTTCACGGCCACTGTCCTCCTAGGGTTCAGTTTAGCTCTTTGCACAAAGTCCATTTGTGTAGATTTTTGTGCTAAGAAGAATGACTTTCAGAACAAATGGTTATTCTTTTATAGCAGTTATAGAAGTGTAATTGTGGTATTGATGGTAGAAAGTCAACATCATTTGAAATGGGAGAATAGAAATGGTTCACTGAACTGCTGGTAAACCATAAGCTGTTAGTTCTGTTCACCTTGTCAAAGCTGGTATGGAATGGGAGGATTTTCCTGAGGAATTTCTGAAATTCTGTGAAGTAATGTCAATTTTTTGAGTCGCAGAATTATGTACCGTTTGAAGGATTGCCTTACGTGGTTTTCCTCATTGCCCTTAGCTGCCTCTTGCATCCACCCTGAGTTCCAGAGTGTGCAGTTCGTTTGCTCTTGAGCTCACCAGCAGCTCCATGAGGTGGCTGCTCATATCTGAACTGCTCTTGCCGTCCGTTCTGTTTTACAAGCACCAGCATACAGAGAACGATACATACAGATGGTGGGTTTGGATTTTTGTATTTTTGGTCTTTTTCTGGGGCTCCATCTCTTTTCCTGAAGAGATTATTCGTAGGTATCCTGGTGCTGCCACATACAGTTTCTGTTGGCCTCCTCATTTCATTTTCTTCTACTAGAGTTTAATCAAAGATTTACAGCGAAAGCCTGATCCTTCAGATGCTTCTTGAATAGAAGTTGAGTTCCATTTGTTACATCTCTACATTTGCTTTGAGTTGCTGAAGAAAAAAATGCATGTTGTAAAAAAAAACTCAAAAAGTGCATATTGTAATTTCTGCCTTAATTTTACTGTTGGTTACCAGTCTCCCAGTGCCCCTAAGCATGGATGTATTCTTGCATCTCAGTTTTGGGGTGAGGCATGTTGCATGTTGTCAAAATACTTTCCCCCCAATTTGTGTAAATTGTTCTGTAAGTGCTGACTTTTAGGTTACTGCTGTGTGTTTTTTCAAGTGCATCGTGATAGTAGAGCCAGAGTAGTGTTAGCAGACCAGCTCCATTCTTTAGTTCTGTTACTTGCCTGACCAACTATATATTACATGCTTTAGACCTTATTGATTGGTGGTTTAGCTTAACACAGTAATACTGGAAATTATCCGCTTGTAGTTCTGAAAGTCATTGTAGAGTGAAGAGGTATGTGTGTGAGGTCCTGCAATTCTCTGAAGAGTTTATTTTTTTGCAGGATAACTGTGGATAACAGGTTTTATGAAGCTGAAACTCTGCAAATGTTTTTCTGCAGCCATAACGGTAGAATACTACTGTAGTTTGTCCCTTGGGAGCCCGTAGAGCACAATTGTTACATTGCTGTATGGTATTTCATGTCCTAAGTATCAGTGAAGTGCAGGCCTGTTAGCAGATGGGACAGGCAGGTGAATTCAGAATAACTTTTTTAAATTATATGTGTTGTAATCTGTCACTGCTTTTGCTTTGTCTGTGGATATTGCTCCCATAATTGAGATCAGTGGAAGCATTAGATCCTTTCTACGTGAAATGGGGAATACTGTAGAAATACTTTGTTCTGAAACACCCTTTTATTGATCCAGCTTCATTAATTCTCTGGGTTTCTGTGAAGCACTTTCCTTCTTTACTTTCCTTTTACAGTGCTCCACACTGCTGTGGGGGAAAACAAGAAGAATTGAAACTGATGAGCTCTTCTTGTCTTCTTCAGGGGATCAAGTATTCAGTAATTCTTCAGGGTGTTTTGTGATCATTTTGATCTGAAGATATAAAAGAGTCAAGTAGAAGCAGTGAGCAATATTGAATGACATTCTTGGGAACAAACATGAAGAGGGAATGCTGAAAACAAGCTGGCTTCATGCTTGAATCATCTTTTTTTTGTAGCTGCATCGCATCTATCTGCTGATTTGTTTTTTCACAAATGTTTCCATTAAGTTAACTATTAAAAAGTAGAGTTTTTGCCCTTTTTTCCATATCTGGTCTTGTAACAAGAGAAAGAAATCCTGTCCTCTGAGTTGACAGCCTTACTGAAGGATGGGTGGTGGGGAATGCATCTGGACATCAGCGTTGTGGTGCTCATCTTCTCTCTGTTCTTACTGTTTGCAGGTTTTGTTATCCGTGATGGCGTCAGCTCTACCCAGAACCCTCGGGGAATTGCAGCTGTATCGAATACTACAAAAAGCAAATCTCCTATTCTACTTCGATGCCTTCATTCAGCAGGGTGGTGATGATGTCCAGCAGCTCTGTGAAGCAGGTGAAGAGGAGTTTTTGGAGATAATGGCTCTTGTAGGCATGGCTAGCAAGCCTCTTCACGTCCGAAGGCTGCAGAAGGCTTTGAGGGACTGGGTCACAAACCCTGGTCTTTTTAACCAGCCTCTCACCTCCTTACCGGTCAGCAGCATTCCAATCTATAAGTTGCCAGAAGGGTCTCCTGCGTGGCTGGGGATATCCTGCAGCAGTTATGAAAGGAACAGCAGCACCAGGGAGCCTCACCTGAAGATTCCAAAGTGTGCTGCCACGACGTGTGTGCAAAGTGTGGGTGCAAGCAAATCCGATGTGGTGGGGAACTTGCCACTGCAGAGCGGCAGCGAGCCGAGGCTCTGGCAAGGACACCACACCACAGAGAGTGAACATAGTCTTTCTCCAGCTGACCTTGGCTCTCCAGCTTCACCAAAGGAAAACAGCGAGACCCTGGATGCTGCTGCTGCTCTGTCAGTTGCTGAATGCGTAGAACGTATGGTTCCCTCCCTGCCCAAAAGTGACTCGAACGAAGTCAAGGAGTTACTGAAAACAAATAAGAAACTGGCAAAGATGATTGGTCACATCTTTGAGATGAGTGATGAGGACCCTCACAAAGAGGAGGAGATCAGGAAGTACAGTGCAATATATGGCAGATTCGACTCGAAAAGAAAGGATGGCAAGCATCTCACCCTCCACGAGGTAAAATCTTGAGCGACAGTGGGCTTCCTCCCTTTTTCCTACACCTTTTATGAGCTGCTGTTCACAGGGTACACTTTTTGTACAGGCACTTTTCACTGGGTTACAAGAGCTGTGTGTCCTACTGGAGCCATAGGCAGTCCTGCCCTGGGATAGAAATCTTAAGTGCAGAAGTCCCCCTTGTTGTATGGGTGTGTGCATGTGTGCACCGATGACTTCAGCTGGGCGTCATCAGACAGCTTGGTCACTGGTGTAGCCTGTCAGGCAGAGGGTTTAAACAGTTTGGCACTGAAATAGCAAACCAGCGTTGCAGTGAGCGTGGCCCTTGGGATTCTAAGCACTTGGCACATTTTTAAAGCAGTCCTGGCTTGGTATTCCCTTTCAGCTTTGAGAGTAGACTGGTTGTTTGGAAGATTAGTAACTAAAATTGCTTGTGTCTGGGAAGAGGATCACCTGGCTTGGTTATTACACTGTGCTGTCTTCGCTTACCTCGAGACCCTGCTGTGTAGCTTGTGCCCTCAAGGTAAAAAGGATTTTGCTGATGAGGTCCCTAAATCCAGTGGATGGGAATTTTTGTGTTTGGTTTGGGATGATGCTTAACTATACAACTTGCAGGTTATTTTGGGCAGTGATCTTAAGCTGGACAAGTGAAGTGCAGGCTGTGTGAGGAGGAAGGGAAAGGGCTGTCTCCAGTATTGATGGGTAGCTGTAATTTGAAGGTTTGTCCTTTAATACCTGAATAGCATCTGTTCCATCTTGTCCTTAAAAGACCATTTGGACCTCCTTTGCTTCTCTTCTGGTATTCTTGAGGCTCACACTGCGTATGTTGTAACACAGTAGGTGTGTCTGTGTGGGGAAGGGCTTGCCAGAGCCAAAGTACAGTACAAGAGGAGAACAAACATTAATTCAAAGCAGTGCCAAAACACTGTTGATACGAATGCTGCATCAGCATTTTCACAGTTAACAGGGATTGCAAAATTTCAGTTGGATTTAAAATTTGGCATGTAGGGCTTAGCTCCCAAAAGGAAAGGCAATGTTTATGTTACAGGACTGCCAGAAAAGCTGTACTGGCTTAGCCTTTTTTCACTTCAAGAAGAAGTTTTGTAGGTGTGTGATCTACAGCATAAGACTAGGTTCTCTTTATGCTTCTGAGTAAAAGGGCAGGGGGAAACAAGATTTACTTCTTTACATTTTGGTTTATGTATTTGCATTTATAAGGCAACTGCACATCAGCAGCAGAGACTTCCCAAGGACTTTTAGTACAGACTGAGGAGACGCTTCCAACAGACTTTTCTACCACAGTTTTAGCTGTGCAGCTTTTACTTACGTGTATTGTGGCTTTTGTGGAACACTTACAATCTATGAATTCATCCAGTATGCAAGAACAGATCTCATCTTACTCCCCTGACCTTGTGGAGAGCAGGTTGTGTGTGAGATGGAGGCAAGACTTGAAAGGATTAATTATGTAGATGCCCTGTATATGTTGCTTCAGGGTTCAGAGAAAGGGGGTTCTCCCCACCTAGGCATGGAGGCCGTCAGAGATGTACAACATGTGAAGCTGTGTGCTTTCACAGTCTCTCTCTGGGGCTGCAGAATATACTCTGAAATCTGGGCAGACTTCTTGTAGGATAATTCCCTGGCAATGGCAGGTGGGCACCAGGGGCAGATGTTGTGCCAGGCATGTGATAGGCTGAGGAGTGGCTCTGTGAAGCTGGAGAGTAGTGTGGTGGTGGTTTGAAGGAGCAGGGTAGCAAAGAACCAGAGGAAAGGATGGCTGCTCTACCTTGTTAATTATACTTTTTAGTACTGCACTAAAGAGCTTTACAACATCATTGTAAAACCGTGTTTAAAAATGGAATGAGAGCATGGTTTGGCTTTAGGAAATGTTTCTATCACTATTATGATTAAGGGCATGAGATCAAAGGAGTATGTGGCTGACTTATGCCTCACTTACACATGTGGGGCCTTGCTGAACTTGATGGGAACTGCACACATGCAAGCAAGAAGAATTTGCTCATAATTGGTTTACTGTTTGCTTAAAGAGGCCGGATTTCACAAAGTTTTGTCTTGAGTGGTCTTTGTTTTAAAGCAGTAAATATACAAATAGTAGCAATGAGACCATCTTTTTTGTTTGTTTGTTTGTTTGTTTAAAATCTGCTAAACCAGGGTTTGCCTTTTGTAAACTCAACTTCAGTGGATTTTTGGTTTTGATGGCTTAATTTGCTGCTCAGAAGGAAGGACCTTAAACAACCAGGGAGGTAAGTTTCTACTTGTCCAGAGACTATGTTTCTGCACGTGTTAATACATTCCAAGACTGTCATTCCGCATCGCAGTTCAAGATCTCTCCTTGCAGCTGGCAATGAACAGCTGAATAAACTTCACTGTGAATTTAAAAAGCTTAAGTAGTGGTTAGCTTCTTAATGTAAAGATCAGGCTATGTCTGGCTCCTGAAGCAGAGTGGAGATGCATGCAAATAAAAATCAAATCTGATGGAATTATTGGCAAATTAGTGAGAGTGTTCTCTGTTTCAGTATGAACATTGGAGTGCCTCAGAGGGCTTGGGCAGCTCGTAGAGGCCAGTGGGAGCTGTGGACACTGAGCTGGTCTGGAAGCATGTGTTATTGGTAGGATTATCTCTATAAGGCACTGATGAGCCTAAAATCTCATGCAGAATCTTTCAGAGATATCCCAGAACTAATAAACTTCCTGTCTGTAATCCATCCCACTGTCTCGGTATTACACAGCTTTTCAAGCATGGAGAGCCCTTAAAGTTGGACTGGAAAAGTGATGAGTACAAGCCATGCCCTTGAACTTGGTGACCTGTGCATGTTTGAGTCAGATTTGTAATTTGTCTTAATGTTTCAGTGCTTGTCTAGGTACCTTAAAACAAACAAACAAATCCTGTTTAGTAGTGTGAGAATCAGAAATAAGAAATGAAAGTAAAAAAAAATTTGTCTAGCTCGGCCTCTTCCTTTTGTTTTACTGACTCGCCAAAACAGTAGGGCTTGGTATTTATTTGTGTTTTGTAGTGAGGGAATCTATGAACCCCATCAGGTGGGAATGTACCCATCCCTCTCCATACAGCCTGTATGATTGTGTGCTCCTCTATATCATTCAGGCTTACAACAACCAAAATAATTGTTTTTAGGCGTGCAACACTTCCTAGCCACAGTATTGTGCCTCCTGAAAAGGCAGGATGCCATAATGCACTTCAGTTCTGTAAGTCTGGATGTGACCTGAAAGAAGAAACCAGGAAAAACAAACATTTGGCTTTTCTCATACATTAGGATAAACAGCACTTGCTTACAGCCACCCAAAGCACTTTCAGTGATTTCAGCTCCTTGCAGCCTTTCAACACTTTGACGGATAAAAACCGTCTCAGATTATTTTGTAAGTACTGGCCATGCTATTCATCCTTGGCAAAGTACTAGCTATCACCGTTACAGAAATTAATGCCTGCTTTGGGTGGTAATACTTTGTGTCAGCGTTGTAGTTATCTTTTATTTTTGTATCTTTTATTTTTTCCCTGTGTTTTTTTTTTTTCTGAGATGATAGACGTTGTAGAACAACTGCTCTTGTCTAAGGGGTAACAGTTACTTCAGTACATTGTGGGAGCATAGTAACCTTGAGCTGTTTCACAGATTAAATCTAAACTTCCCACCCCTGTACATCTGATCTCTGAGGGATTTTTCTGGTCTGTACAGAAACCAAAGGATCAGACAACATATTTAGTTCACCTGTTAAAGACATGTTTGCACTCTGATTAGTATTCGGGTATCTTAGGAAATGCCCTACTCAGATCAGAGGCTTTTATACTGAACACAGGGAAAAATGCTTAAGAAATATTAGGCACAGCAGTTCTGTTTGAGGTTTTACGAGAAATACTGCATGGGCTCAGGGCACTGAGAGAGTCTCAGGTCTTCTGGTACATGTGTTTGGTTTTTTTCAGCCTCCTGGAGGACAAGTGTTGCATTGGGCAAAATACATCTATTTGAATTAGGATGACATGAAGCACTGCAGTGAAGTACAGCAGGGTTGTGTGTTGTTCATATATTATGACAGCTTCCATCCTTCAGGGATGGAGTGCGTGATGTTTTGGGTGAATTGCTGTGCTTAATTCCCAAGTAACACTGTGCAGTGTGGTAGACAGCAGGGTAAAGGAGCATGATTCTTAGCCTTCTCTCAAGAGACACCATTTAACTGCAGACCTGCTGGCCTCTCCTCAGCCTCATCTTCTGTTCTCTTCCATGAAAAGCACCTCTTGTAGTGGCAGTGTTTCCAGGGGCTGAGGTCACACGTGCGTGGTCCTGTCAGCCCTTGGCCACACAACCCTGTGCACTGCACTGCAGCTGTGCTTTGCTCTGCCAGATCAGGGGCTGGGGATGGTACATCTCATTCTGTCATGAATATGCTGACTGTGCTGTGGAAAACCTACTTACTTTGTAATATTCATTAGCCTGAGACAGATACAGAAAGTACTGTTGACAGGAGCAACAAAGCAGCTGTGCTCATTTGCAAGAAGCCAGGCCCATTCAAAGCAGTTTTATTTCTAGAAATAAAGAGTAGAAAAGTTGTGGGCACTCTGGGGAAAAAAAAACACCTGCAGTACTCTGGCCCCTGGCTTTTATGCCTCGTTAGAAGTGCTGGCTGCTCTTCAGCTGAGGAAGAAATGAAAATGTCTCTTCTGCCTCTACTGACTGTGGAAGGAGCAGAGAATCTCCAGCATCTCAGTTTCAGTGTCTCTCATTGTATTAATATTGTTGTTTGTCCATACTGTTGACCATAGGCTTTTCAGACCGCAGTGTTGTATATGGTGTAATCATGACAGTATTGCCACTTTCTGTAGGCTTCCTAGCACTGTGAAACCATTTTGAGCCTTAACTTTGGGCTTTTTTTCTCCTCCCCTCTTTATGAAGCTACTGCCAGCAGCAGAGGCACTAGAAATGTGTCCTGGCAGGCTCAGGAAAACATCCTTGAAACAAGTCACATTTGATTCATATCTGAAGATAGTCTTCACAAACACGAGGGTGAGAAACATAGCTAAAAAAAGTTTAATCGTTTCTTAAACCATCACCTTCTACAGAATCTGTGCTGTATTCACCAGGGAAAGCCATCTGTACCCACACTGTCATTTTTTTCCCCCAAGTCCTGGGCATATTGCATTTATAAAAATAGTATTCCCTGTAAACCAGGCTTTGGGAGCCGAACACTGTGAACGTTCAGAGCTACTGTTTTATACTGAGATTTAATTAATGCTGGGATGAGGCACAGGCAGCTCACGTTGAGGGAGTCTTACAATAACATTTTTACTTTAAAGGACATTAAATGCCCCAACTACACGTTTTTCTTCCCAGAGGCTTACCTGGCTTAGTAAGAGTATAAATTAATGGAAGAAACCCTCCAGGGTTTGCTGTACATTTGTGGGTAATTTTACTTGCAGCTGAAATTTGTCATTATTTCAGAAGAACGGGTACTTTTACAAGCACAGTGGGTGAACTTATGCAAAATCATGAATCCCTGGTTTTGTGTTTGATTTCCAGCTAACAGTTAATGAAGCAGCCGCTCAGCTGTGTGTAAAAGATAACGCCTTGTTGACCAGGAGAGATGAACTCTTCGCACTAGCTCGGCAAATCTCTCGAGAAGTTACATACAAGTATACTTACAGGACCACCAAGTAAGGTTTTAATTAACTCAAAGGACCTTTATTTTCAGGGAGTGAATCAGTCAAATAGCATTTCTTTTGAAGTGCTAGAGACACTTTCTTCCTGCTCTTTAGCTAGCAAAGTGTTCTTCTGAGGAAGGTAGAAAAATGCCATTTAAGTCGTGAAGCTTTCAAACTGCTAGGATTTAGCTGCCTTGAATTACCTTTTTATTTGCTCTCTCGTTTTCCAAAGTTTTTGATGATAGTGCATGATGAGAGGCATCTGAGAGGCTGGCATTCCAAGTATTTGAGGTATTTGTGTATTTCAAGGTTAATGTAAATAGGCAAAGTAGCCAAAGCTGCTCAATATATCAGTTGGTTTTTTTTACCTATACAGATTTAGCTCGTTAGTTTTCAGGGAATGAGAAAGATAAGGTCATGGGGAGCAGCTTACAAACCTGCTTTTAAGGGACTGAAGCTGACTCCTAATTTCAGTTGTTACTGTTCTGTTAAATGAACTGCTGTTATGAAACAGTAGCAAGGGTTTAATAGCTTTCAAATACAATTAAAACTTTAGAATTAATAAGTGTTACTGAAAGTCTCGATCCTTTATTGTTTTTAAGTGTTAACTCCTTCATGTGTAATGCAGTGTCCTTTCAAAATACATTTTCCTACGCTTGTAGGATTTTCCTTTGCTCCCCTTCCTTCTATAGTGATTTATGTAAAAATACATCCATTCTGGGTAAGCAGATTCTCCGTGCTCAGGTGCTTTCTGTTCTGTTCAGAAGAATGTCTCTGACATCTTGAAAACCACACAAGGCACTTGTATTCCTCTGTACTTGAGTGACATATACTGCCACGTCCAGGTGAATTAGAGGCTTTTTCTGTGCATCTCAGTTGTTCTTGCCCAGTTTTGGTTTTTTTTGTCTTGACTCTGTTTTTCATTATTAATTCTGATGGTCAGGGTTAATGTGCTGTTTACTGACAGCCTGTGTGTCTTCTTTTCTAGATCTAAATGTGGAGAAAGGGATGAGCTGTCACCAAAGAGAATCAAGATAGAGGTAAAGTATTATGACTCCTGTGTTTTTTCACCTATGCATGCTAAAATTCACTTGTTTTGAAGTGAGCTGTCTTAAGGAAATGTGTCAGAGAAACATTTGAAAGACAGGGTCAAAAAAAAATTCTAAGTGTATATACCTATATACCTCATAAGAATAGCAGATCTTCCTTTATGATGTATTTTTTTTTGACAAAGTACTGTTTCTCTGTTACATGGGTAACTGATTCATACTTAGCATTGTGTGTTTGGGGTTTTTTTTTTTACTGTCTACTCCAAAAGGTGTGGGCTAAATGTGCATTTGAGTATAAGCTAGGCCCGAGTTAGCTCTGTATGTGACACAGATACATGATACATTCTTTAACTGCAGAGGAAAGTTGGAGCATATTCTGGAATGCATTTCTCATGTAACTCATTCTGTGACAAATGATGCACTGAATGCAAGGCTTTCATAATTTTTCAGCAGTGTGATGCTTTTGCCTGTACAAAGGCTTTTCCTATGAGACAGACCTCAGTGTGAGCAGTTCGTTTTGAAAAGGCAGTTATGAATAGGTATATAGGAGTTAATCTGTTTTATTTATTAAGTTCCATCAATCTGTATACAGTTGTAGATTATATAATACAAAGCATATACATGCGCTGAGGATTTACTCATACCTTTGACGGTAAATCAGTAGTGTCATTTACATGTGTTAGGATTTGCTTTGACATATGCTTGTTCTTCAATCCATGAAAGAGCAGAGAAAAGGTGCATTAAATCTTTTTATCCACCTTCACAATTATGTCCCTTGACCAACACATTGCAGGATGGTTGCTTGAGTCTGCCCTTTTTTGTCCAGTCTAGTCCTGATTTTTGAGAGTTGGTGGGGATCTGCTGCTCCTCTGCTTGGAATAGTATTTCATTGAGTTAAATTTCAGCATTAGAAAGTTTTTCCTTCATTCAGTAATATTGATGATGGGCAGGTATCTAAAATGACATGCTGCAAAGGAGGTGCTTTTTTATTCATTGAAAGAAAAAGATTAAAATCCTGAAAAACACAGGCTGATACTTTAGGGGTTTTGGAGAGCAGGAAATTTGGACAGCCTTAGGGAAACTGTTCTCTTATTTTCATGCATGGTGAAATCCTGAGTCTGGAAGGGCTGCTTTCTCTAGGCACCTTTTAATTCAGTAATTCTGAGAAAGGATGTTTACTTGGTTTTCTTCTCTCTAAAATTACCAGTCATATTTTAAAATGCTGGTGGAAGATTCATGTCCTAGCTGTACAAATGACTATTTCAGAAATAGTACTTTTTTCCACAGTAAGAAATTCAAATTAAATTAAATGAAATATTCTTTCATTTGATAGCATTATAGTATATGATTAATTATGAAGTAACCAGTGTTGTCATCAGGATACATTTTATTTTTCCCTTTGGGAGTCTTCTAAGAGTAAGTCATTACTACAGTATATTATAATGGAGACACACTGTAAGTCATGGACTTTTCTTCCAATAAATTTTAAAAGGGTGCATTATTACATAGTAACTTTTACATGTGGTGTTTTGGGTTATTGGGGCTTAGATTTCTAAAAAAGAAAGCGGCCTTTTTTTAGTAGCATGTTTGAGGATTTTTGAGGAGGCTCGTTCTTAGAAAGGTGGAGGTAAAAATTAAAATGGTAGCAAATGCTGTAGATTTTTCCTTCTGTTCTGGGTCAGAATTCTTTATCCTGTTTTTTAAGTTGTTATTTTTCATTATGGCTCTGTTAGCTCACTGTCATGCTAGTATCATGCAGAGGATCTGAATGAGAGTGTGGTGGTGGTGTAACTAGCTCTTTTTTCTTTTTGTAAAGGTCATTTTGCCTTACTGTTTTAAGGCTGAACCCTGTATTTTTATTCACCATTCCTTTACCCATTAGTCATTAACTTCTCTGCAAAGTGTGGCCTAAAATACTAGGGCTTGAATTTGGAGAGATTTCACAACTGTTTGCATAGTGTCAAAGATTACTTAAAAAAAAAAAAAAAAAAACAAAAAAGAGTTAATATCTGGAAATATAATAACACTTAGCCCCCTCACCCCCCCAAACTCCAGGGAGGCTGAAGGTCATCCTGGAGCAGAGCTAGCAGAGCTGTGTGAGCAGGCTGAATATTGCTGGGTTACAGCCACCATTGTGAATTTATCCTCTTCACGAATATGAAACTCACAAAAGCATTACAAAGAAACAATATGCCATGAATTACATCAAATTACCTGTAAAAGCCTTTCTCTTCCCCAGCGAGCTCTCCCCCTCTTATTTGTAGAGTGGGTGGGCGAGCTGTGGGAGTGAAGTGTAGAGAGGAGAAGGGAAAAATTCCAGGCAAATGACAGACTAAAGGTGTGGAGGGAGTGAAAAAGGGAATGGAATGAATTGGGATTTGGAAGCAGATTATAAGGAAAGGGTTGTAGTTTCTAAATCTACTCTGGACAAAGAGCAGGACAGGCAAATAGGGATGTGCTGTTTGCAAGCAGGCGAATAGCACATCCCCCTGCAGGGCAAGACTGTCTCCTGCATAGGTGTTGTGGGGTGGGGGCACCCCTTGTTTTGTCATCTTCCATGAGTCAGTGCCAGCACTGCTCCAAGCAATGAGCTGTTGTGGCACCAGCTTGGAAAGCAAAACAAGTCACAGGTATATCATGCAGAAGGCATGGAGGGAGAGGCTACTCATCGCTGCTGCTGCTTTGTGTTGGGGTTGGCGAGGTTCCCCCTCAGTTAGTGTGAACAGCCAAGAGAGCGAAGAAAGAGAGTTTTAAAAATACTCTTGCTGTCTGTGGTATGGAGAAATTGTTCTATTTGTCAGTGTCTTCATTCAGCTGAACGGGAGGGGTGGGGAGAGCTTGCAAAAGCTAATTTCACAAAGCTGAGTGGGAGTCAGGGGCACAGGCAGGAAGACCTGAGTGGGGGCTGTGAGGAAGCATCTTCCCTTAGTGCTGGTATGAGTGGAGGGAGAGAAAAGACCCACCTCCGCCATTGCTAAGAAGGTTGAAAAGAAAACCGAAGTGTGGGATTTGTGTTTCTCACAAAAACAGCAAAAGCTACTGTTTTCCTAGGAAAAATGTCATTAGAGGGAGCAAAAAAATCACATGTGGGACTGAGAACATCTGCTGCATGAAGCTGCTTGAAAAACAACTGAGCAGCAGCATGGGCAAAACAAAACTGCTGCACTGCATACAGCAGGCCCTTCTGACCGCAGAGGTTTGAAAAGGAGCCTCTAGGCAAACGTTGTGCAGAGCAGGTTGTCAGCTGGCCTAGCCTGCTCCTCATCAGCCCTTAGATGAGGCAGCAGGGCAGAGAACAGCCAGTGGTGGGGAATGGTTCCAGGAAAGGTGATCCAGAACGGCATCATCATCCAAGTTATCTGCATGACTGACAGGTGACAGTCACAGCAATGGGCAGCTGGTCTTGCTTTCAGGAAGCAGTCTTTGGTTTTGTGTGATCGCATGTATATTATAAAGAGCCGTGTTACCTGTTTTGCTGCAAAAATAGGATCCTGAGTGGTAGGGGGTTTTGCGTATTCAGTTTCTGATCTTCCTACACACAGTTGTTCTCTCCAAAACAAATTCAGTTCTAACTATGAAAATGGTCAGTGCTTATGGAGATGTGCTGCAAAGCCTTTGTTTCTAGAGGATGGGGTTTTGTGGCAGTTTCCCTGGTTATAAAATTTTGCATACCTATACCTATATGTTTGTTTTTTCCTTGAGGGAGTATGATGGGTGGATAAAAGCAATATGCAGTGTTCAGACAGACACTTCTATTTAATTTTCTTTCCCTGAGCATAAAGAATAGCTTTTTTGGCACTGGGTTGCATTGAGGGTCTGGCCATCATGCTGCAGGTCAGTGGGCAGCCTGCCAGTGGCAAGGACCTTGTAATCCTTCCCTTGTGTTTTTTTGCAAGATTGCTGTTCTTATTCCTGGGCTGTAACTTATTTGTCCACCTAGTGTAAAAAAATGTTGCTGTTTACATGCATGAGCCTCTAGAATCCACAAGGAAAATATGTCTAATTTGGCATATTTGATACGTGGACGTACGTATCCTCAGTGTCACTGTTTTCAGGTGTTGGTCTGATTTAGATCTCTTGCTTCCTTCCACATTTTAACAGTCACCTATATATGCTGTTCTTTTGTAAACATTTATGGATGTTCCTTTCTTTTACATGAGCTTTCCTTTTATAATGCCGAGCAGGATAATTTTTCTCATCTTGAACCTTTGCTTCGATGATTAATTTATTTTAATGGAGTCTGGCACGTTTTCACAGGAACTTTATTTGCTTTATGGGTACATATGCAAGCTGCAAAAGATTTGCATGTCATAAGCATTTGAGACTGAAAAAATTGAATGATGATTTCCCATAGTATATAAAGCCTTAGCTACCCTGCTTTTAAAGTGATGATATTTCATTTTGTGATGCTACTGTAGGTTCTGTATAAAACACCTTGAATTTCAGGTGGCTTTGCTCAGTTTCACGAGGTTAGTATATGCAGCTGCTGTGCCTTGATCTTGACTAGATATAAGCTTGATTTCTTAAGAATCTCTAAAGCTGCTGTATGTAACAAGTGACAGAAACCACAGGCCTAAATCTGCCTGGCAAGGCTGAATGTAAACTAGTTTAATGTCAGTGGCAACACTAGTCTGCATTCACCTGAAACTGTGAGAGATTACTTTCTGTGTATGCCATTTTAGATATATAGCGGTTGGTGTAGAGGGGTTGTCTGTGTTTTATGCACAAACTGTGTGAATAACATGAACATGTAAATTGCAGACCCGAATTTTCTGAGAAGTTCAGGAATGTGTTTTTTGTTGGTTCTTTCCTTTTTTCTTTTGAGTATACAGAGAGGGTAATGAAAAATCAGTAATATGTCCCTCTTGCTGTTTGGTTTCTTTTTATGCTCAATAGGATGGTTATCCTGATTTCCAGGACACGGTCCAGACGCTCTATCAGCAAGACAAAATGCCACTTGCTTTGGCTAAAGGGAAGAATGAAGACTCAACAGCTCTTAATTCCCAGGTAAACCAACTAGACTACACTGTGAATAATACAGTCATGTCTTTGTACATTGATTTTGGTGTATTGTTTTGATGACTAAAGTAATTACCATCAGTTTTCAAAGGCTGCCAAGCATAGGTGTGATTGCATCACTCTTAATTGGGGTTTACTGCTGGAAGTGTTCTGACACAGTACTACAGCTTTAGCCTTGATAGTTCCAAGGAGGTAAGATCTAGTGTAGTAGGCTTGAAAAATACGTGACTGCCTGTTGAGAGCAAGTGGGGTACTATTGGTACAGTATGTGCTGTGTTACTTGCGTTATTAGCTATAAATGGAAAGTTCAAGTTACTGAGTGTAGAGGAATAGAGTAGGCGATCTTGGAGTCCTCAGTTCTGACGTTTCTTACAAGAAGAAAGGCCAGTATAATGAGGAAATAGAGAACTTCTGGATCTGAGAGGATAAATTGCCTAAATAACATCTACCCTTGTGGCAGTGCATTGTTTTCAAGTTCCCAGAAAGCTTTCTATAAATGGAAGACAGGTTTCAGATGCTTTGTCTTTTCTGTAGTGTATCCCAGCCTTGAGGCAAAATATGCATCTCCTGCTGCCAGTTGTTGCCAAGGAGGGATTTTATGCTAAGTTGCAACAAATTGCATTGCTGATTTGAGCAGCTGTAATCGCCAAATTTTCACGTAAGATTACGGAGTTACATTCCTGTTTCCTGAGAGTGGATGTGTTACCCTGTCTTTTACCTGCTTCTGTTGCGAAGTAGTGTACAGTGATGCAAATGTATTCATTGTGGTACAGCAAAAAACAATCATGCTACATGTTCTGGTGTCACATAATGATGACCTGCACTTGATTTTTGCAAGCTTATTTTCATCATGTATATGCTTTAAAGCTTTCATTGGTCACTGCTATGTAACAATGGACTAGAAATTTATTTTAAGCTTAAAGATATCTGCGACTATACAGGGTTTTCTGTGGTGATTAGGTCAAAGTTTTGGGGTTGTCCCAATTAAATAGCAAAAATGGCATGAGTGAGAAATGTTTTACTCTTAGAAAACTATTATGAAGTTCAGAAGTTGTAAGAGGAGTGATGGAATAGCAAAAAGCACACTTGAAAGTAAACTGAGCAGTTTCTTCTTTTACTTGCCTCCCAAGACCAAGCCTGAGCTATCAGTGTTCTTCTGCAGAACCTGATGAGCTGTAAGTCAGAGTAAGTAAATACTGGTCAAGTCATTACCCTGCTATCAGGGCATGACTGTGCTGCAGAAGCTCAGATTTTGCTGGTCTGTTTTGCTTCCATTGTATTTGTAAATTGTTGAACTATGCTGGATAAGCAGACCTTCATGGGAAGTCAGGGCTTTCATCATCTCCCAAGAAAAATCCTCTGCAGTTAACGGGCCTGTGTACCAGTTGAAACGGTTACTGCATTACCTCATAGAGAAGTGCCTTTTTCCCAATCAGTTGTAGATGTTAAGGTTGTACACTTTCTGTTCCTGTGTTCATCGTGGCTCTTCAAAATCAACTTTCTTGACTTGTGATTTTATTTTTGCAAGATGCTTATTTACATTCTCAGGAACAAGATTATAGTGAAATTAGAATTCTCTTGGCATTAAAGTCAATGACAAACATTCAGACGCCATTTCCTCCCACATTGCACCACATTGTTTAGTTTCACTCTCAAGAGGTGTATAGGTCTTGTTCTTCTTCTAGACAGACATTTCACACCTTTATCCCCCACAAACATACTGTGATCCTACACTTTCAGAATGGCAGATTTTTAAGCTTGTGTAGTGCTGTTGCCTAAAATAAAGATTCCAAGATGTCTGGTGAAATCTTGGCATAAGTTTTTAGCAGATGTTGCCATTGCTCTTGGAATACTTTTTGGAATACTTTGTGAAGACATATATTTGAACAGAGCTAACTGATAATTAAGACATTATTTTCTGCTTTTCTTGAGATTCTCTCAACGTAACCTGCAGTCCTAAACTGCAGAAAGTGGTTTCTGTGTTTTCAAAGAGTAGAATTTAATGTTGCATTTCTGTGTGGATGAACTACAGCAGCTTGCATTTTAAGTACTCTTGAGTGACTCAGAAGAACAGTATGAAAATCTATGGGTGCAAAAATATTTTGTTTGCTAGGTAGTTTTGAAGAAACCGTAAAACACACATCTGTACATATGAGTCAACAAAAAACTATATCTAGGCTGTTAGTCTTATCATCTGATGTTTTTCTTTCCTGTGTTTTGACTCACTGTATGTATGTATATAGAGAGATATCTTTTTTCCTTTATTTGCAGTCAGAAAAGGTGATGGCAAAACAGATGGAATTTCTTTGCAACCAGGCTGCATTAGAGAGACGTCTTTCCACAGGGTGTTACAGGCAAAACTCAGAAGAGCACAGCCCGAATGGCATGTCATTAGATAACACTGATGGACAAGGTACGGTAGCTTCCAGGCATGGTGTTGCTGCCAGCAAATACATTTGGTATTATGCAACTTTTGTCAGTAGTGTTATTTATCTAGTATAGAACACTGAGCGCTGAATGGACAAGTCAGGATCTCTGCCCTGGAGTGCTTAGTCTAAGTAATGCAATCAGATGTACAGTCACATTCTGCTCTGTTACTCTAATGTAGCCAGGCAAACTGCTTTCTCTATGGATAGCCCTGTGGGGAGGGAAAAAGGTAGGGTGCAGTAGTGTTACTGAGAGTAAACCTTGGCTCTAGCTTTATCCTAAGTTTTCAAAATAGAGCAGGATGTTGCATTTTGTTTGTGTTCTTGCTTTGTGGAAGTTGAAAGTAGAGCAGGATCATGTAGTTGGTACCCCTTTTTGTTTACTTGGTTTTGCAGTCTAGGAACAAAGCCTGAAGAGCTGACTACGTAAATAACTTAGAATTAACGAGATTCTAATGGTGTCCTTAAGAGGTTGTTATTCTTCAAAAAGCTTACAGTTTAGTGGCTCTCTCTTTGATTTACCAACTGGCTGTTCCTTAGCTTAAATTAATTGTCAGAGTGTTTGTTTTGTTTGACGGTTTTCTGTTTAGATTTCTTTTTTTACTGTTGTGAAGGGAGATAAAATGTTTTAAGCGCAAGAAATACAACCAGAAGTTTTTGTGTATGGTGTTTTTTTACAGCTAGTTTAAGGGGGGAGATAAACAGTAGAGAAGGCAACTAAAGCAATCAATAGAAGTAAGCATTAAAACAGGTTTTCATATGTGTGTATTGGTCAGGCAAAGTGGTACACAATTATACAGGAAGTATTGGGGCGTGTGGCTCCAGCTGTTCTTGATAGTGCTAGCTTCATTATGCCATTTTTCCATTGTGCAGTGGGAGTTGGAATTTTTAGGATCTCAAAGAGATTTTTGAGCAGAATGAGAGTTTTAATTTTACTTTTGGTATGGCTGAGTGTCCCTTTCCAGCAAGCCTGTGTCTGCAAAGCAGCATATTTACATAAGCTTTGTTTTTCTAGAAACCTTCCATGAGCAGCTGGAAATTAGGATGCAATTTTCCTGATAGAATTAGTATGTCTTTAAGTCCCTACCTGTTTAATCTCTGATATTGCTTTGCTTTTAATGGATCAATGTTTCACTGTGATCAACTTCCAGGTGAAAGACCGCTGAATCTCCGAATGTCCAGTCTGCCAAGTAGACAGTTGCAGCACATTTCACTTGATGGAGAGCAGCATGTTGGAAAACCTCTGTGCGGTGATCTGATACGGCTTTACCCCAGTGGTGAGGCAAAGTCCCAGTCTTCAGGTTAGTGCTGCTTCTTGTAAATTACCCATTGTTTCTTAAAAGGCTGTGATGAATTAACAATGTCTCCAGGTGAAGAAGCTAGTAGCTCAGCCTGGCATGCTTTGTGTGTAACCTTTTAATCAAGACTTTGGACAAAACTTCCAGAGGAGTGTTACTTGTTAATCTAGAATCAGATTGAATATTATGTGGGAAAAGCTTACAGGGTGCCGTAACTAAGTTCAGATAAGCAAGTTCTGGCATGTGTCTGTCCTCAGAAAGTGGTATTGACCCAAACTACTGCTTTTAAATACTTAGGTTGCTGTTGTACTGCAGTTTGATTATAACATGGTTTCACCCTTTATAAAGAACCAGACTTTTTTATAAAATGTTTTTTTATTCTGGTTTATGAGGACCTAGTGATGTTCAGTTTTAACACAGCTGGGCTAAAGCCCAGCAGGAGGAGGCAGAATTCATTGCTTCAACTGTTAGTATCCATATGGTTCATGGTCCTTTTTCTTGAATTAAGAGCACAATATATTTTTTTCCAAGCAGTGTTTTTAACATTATTCTTTTTTTCTTTTTTAATGCAGAAGGTCTTGGTATTTTAAAGGATTTTCCTCATTCGGCTTTTAACAACATAGAAAGGAAGGTCATAAAAACAGAACCTGAAGACACAAGATAGTCATTCTGCTCTGGAAAATGGTGTCGTAATAACGAATGAAACTTCACAAGAGAAAAAAACCAGCCTTAATAACCAGTGTTGCCTCATTCAAATACGAGATTTCAATAGCCAAAGCCTAAGAACTGGTACAGTAATGTGTGGAAACAGGAAAGCAAGAGACACTGCAAACTAAAACAGTAATACAGGTGGATAAACATTCCTGTAAAAGTGGTTTTATAACATGGGAAGATTCACAAATTAATATTGTGGGTCTTCATTATTTAAGAATGTATTATGTATTTGTATAACTTATCAAAGTAAATCTAGATGTTGGGACGTGTATTGAGTCCAGTAGATGTGGCTACAGTTCATTTTACTTGAAATTTCAATGTCTATTTTAAGTGTACCTAGCGTAGATATGGTTGTTAAACATTTGAATTAAAATTCATTGGAGAATTAGGAATGCAAACCTTGTGACACAATTAACAGCAAGTTTGCAACAATATTGTAGAAAAAGGAAAATGCATAAAATATTTCATGGTTTAAAATGTTATGTGGATATAGCATTTGATAGACCTAGACCCTGATTCTGTATTATAGCGGACGTACTTGACACTTAACTATTGTTACATCACTTTCAATGGTTTCAGCAGCCTTTGTGTAACACACTTACAGCATAATACCTACCTACAGTTCAGGAGTGTAGAGAATGCCGGTTGGAAGAGGCCATATGATTGGCTCCCATTTCCTTGGGGGAAAAAACTATGGTTTGATAATACTGTACAATTACTGAAATCTCAGCTGGTGGGAAACCCAAGAGACAATGTAGCATGGACAGGGCTGCAAAAATTGTGATTCAGACCATTATAACTTTTTGGACCTCTCTGTGGATCTTTCAAAAACAAAAAGCATCCTAGGTGTGGCAGAGATGAAGTATGGTGCACGATTTATGCATTGATGTAAAAGGTTGCACTTGGTATCCAGAAACCATAAGATCTTTTGGAGGAGAAGACGAGGAGTTACGTCTTTAGCGTGTGACTCCTAATTAAGTGCTGTCCAGCCCACATGATTCTATGAATATACCGTATACTGCATACAGTATGCCAATACGTTTCTTTATATATGTGATTAATTAACATCTGTATTCTTTATTTATTTGACAGTTTTTATTTTTTGTACATTTTCACTTTTGCAGATGTCATTTTATCTAAGGAGAAATAGTCGGCATATAACTTTGGAATTTACCATGGTGTGTTTGTGTGCATCCGTTTTTCCTCTGCGCAACTCCCTCAATAAGAGTTGCTTTCCAGCAGTCAAAACAGTTATATGCCTCAGTTTCTGAATACAGTTTTTGCTTACAACATGTTCTGGAGGGGAAAGGGAGGGCTGAAGACAGTAAGTTACCGTGCCAGCAGGTAAACTTCCATATTCAGGTGTGCACTTCATGTCTGCAGTTTGCTCTGTGTCATAGATGTGTATTAACGATTCAGTCACAGTCTGTGTTGTACTGAAACAGTCAGCAAAATGTGAGCTGAAATGTCTACACTGCAGTCTCTTATCACTGTAAACATATCTAATTATTTTATCACTTTTGATTTGTGGAACAAAGCTTTATAGTAGAAACACCAGTAAACAACTTTTTATACTATTCAAATGTTTGTTTTTTTAAAAAATGTTTCTTGAACTGTATGGTACTGTTTCACTTACTGAAGTATCTTTAAGCAATGGAGTTCGCAGCTTTGCTGTTAGAAATAAGAGACTGAATGTGTAGTTATATTTCCTCTTTCCTGTTGTGTGAGCTAGTGATGCGGATAAGATTGTAACGTTAGCCAGTGCCCTGGTTAGTATCCGAGTAGCTTTCATGAGACATGTATGGAACTTGTTAAAGGACAGCTTAAGGTTTGAACTGTACAGCTGGTGTGATAGAAGGTACCAAGCAACAAAACTTTAGAGATGCAGAAAATGTTCTGGTTTTTCAACACCTGGCACAATCAACAGTTGTATGGATCACAGAAGAAGCTCTTAAGCTTGCTGGTCTCTTCGATTAAAGTGAGAGGAAGAAAAAAGAACTTGCTAAGCAGCACGCCGTTTCAGTTGAGTCCAGAATTTATTTTGTAAACACTAATGTATTAAATTTGCTATAAATTAAAGTATATAACAGTTATATTTTTGAGTTGTAAATACAGTACTTTGTGTCACGACCAGTTGGTTCTCTCCAGGGTGATATTTCAGTCTATAGTCCAACAGGCCATTTCAGTCTCAATAAGCTGGAAGCAATTTTTTTACTGGTTTGCAGCTGTATGATAATTACTTTTTTTTAACTGGGGGGGGGGGGAGGCAGGAGGTGCATTCCGAGTTTGCACATACATTTGGTAATAGCAAATACTCAAGCATTGGTCTTTCCATGACAGAGGTCTTGGTGGACTGCAACTTGGCTTAGCCTCTGGAGCCGCAGGTGAAGGCTTGCCATCATCTGCTCTGGAAGGGTTGGTAGATTCAGGGTACCCTGGATCAAAGGCCAGCCCTGCAGATGATGCCTGTTCTTATTCACATGTTTATATTGTTGCTTACAAAATAAAATTCACCGTGAGAACTCTGTAGTTTCCTCAGGGTTTTTCCTTCTTTTTATTTTAATGGTGTTCTCTGAAAGGAGATGTTAATTTTCTGGGGATAGGGGAGGAGGGAGCAGCTCTCTCTGGAGGAAACCTTTTCCTTCTCTTGTGGTTGAGCCCTCATTTATGGGTGGCCATATGTGCACAGCCTGCAGGGCTGTAGTGGCCCAAGGGAAAGGGAGATGAACTGAAACCCAGGAAGGGTCTCTGCAGCATGGCAGTCTTACCTAATGCTCTTTCCACCTCCTGCTTTTGTGTGTGCTTACATTGGCGCAAAATGAAAGCAGCAGATCTGCTAGGAGGTGGTACCAGCAGTTAGAGATGATCTTTGGGACTTCGGGGTCAAAGCATTGCTGCCCAGCCTGCCCTCAGGTGTCTTGGTGGTCCACCCCGTTTCACTGGCTTTACAAATGGTGGCTCTCATGTCAGCTAAAGTGTTGCTGGAGGACAGAAACCAAATGGGAGATGGGGTATAGAAAGGGGAGAGAAACAGACCAAGGATCAAAAACATCCAAAAGAAGTGGAGGAACCCACCAAAAACTTTGAGAAACATGCAGGTTGCTGAGTTGGCATAAAAGTCAAGTACAATTCAAAGCAGAGGGGCTCGGCCTGGTGGAGTCAAGAGTGAAGTGCAATGCCCCTGACTTCTCCCAGCTCAGAAGAGCTTAAATGTGGGAAATAAGAACCAGTGGCTTAATGTTTGCTGGGTTTTGTCTGCACTTCCAACGTCAGCTTGCCCTTTTCCTGGAGAGGGAGGAGGAGGAAGGAAGGAACTGGGTTCTACTGTCTTGAAGGTGCAAGGCTGGGACAGAATATGCCTCAGTTAGTCGATCTTCCAGGCTGCATGCAAGTATAACTGGAAAACCTTTAGATGTTGTTTTTGGCTTGATCTGAGCTGAGCAGTGGGTGCCTGCAGTTCAGTAAAGCCACAGTATGCTGGACAGGTATGGTCCTACTAGGGCCTACAGGCTTGTGGCAGCCTCACCAGGTTGTGTCTCAGCAAGGTGCTGTGAAGCTCTGGTGCTGTAAGGTCCTCCATTGGAAAGCGCTGTTGGATTAAACAGCCATAACAGAAGGGTTATTAATGTTCATCTGAAATGTCAGGAGGTGCGAGTTTCTCATGCAGCAAAAAAACCTCATTACTGATAAAACTTTTATTGCTGGTTACCTGCCTAAAGCTCCTGTGTCTTCTTCTAAATAAGCAAGTTGTATGAGGGTCAGCAGGGAAAACATCTGCTCACAGCTGTGCCTTTGCTCATGGCCGTCGCTTTGCCCGTCGTAACTCATTCCCTCTGCATTTTCTCTTCAAAACTCAGAAAATGGCAAATACCAGGTTCAGACTGATGGTGAAAGGTCTTCCAACGGGCCACAGTTAGAGCAAGAACACTCGCTACTGCAGTAACTGGGATTTGGTGAAGCTTTGGCTTGGATCTGGGCTCCGGAGGTGATGGGAAGAGCACTCTGTGCTCAGGGAGCCCTGCTCTGCTCCTTCCCTTGAGCACAGAGCTGAAAAAGCAGCAGCATGCCTGGCCGCAGGGCTGTGGTTTGGGGGTGCCAGCTAGCAGGAAGGGGCTTGTCTGCTCCCTCAGGCATCCCTTCACCAGGGTTAGGAATGGTCCTGCTGCTTTCCAGCCTTGCTTGGGCTGGGGTGTGCCTGGATCGCACCGAGGAGCTCTCTGGCTGCCTCCTTAAGCAGGAAAGCGAGGAGAAATGCCAGGAGGCTCTTTTCTGCTGTACAGAAGGGTTGAAAAGATGTTGTGCTGCAGTGATTCAGTGGGGAAAGGATAAATCCCTCACATACACCTACGCACCACCACGAGAAAGAACTCCGTGGGCAGGCAAGGAGCAGAGCATGAAATATGAATTTCCTCGAGCTGCTCAGGAGGGTTGGCTTCCAGAGCCCTTCCTCCTCCAGCTCCTGCTGTCCGGCCATGCTGGGGATGAAGCTCTGCCCTGGATCCAGGAAGGTCCCCAGGCTGGGCAGTCTGCACTGCCCCATTGCTTGCACCTGCAGCCTTAATGAAGGGCAAGGCCCCTTCTCACATGGTTTTGGGCTGCAGCTGGGTCAAGGCTGGCTGCCCATCCCTCAGTGAGCTGGCAGCTCCAGCAGACAGCAGCTCCAGAGCTGGGGAGGCGGTAGAGGTGGCTCCCACTATGGAAAAGCTTGGGAAGACCTAATGTAAGCTATAGCCAAGTCCTTGGGTCATCAGATGGTGCCCAAAAATGCTTGCCGCAAAACCACCCCCGCCAGCCAAATCTGGGTTGGTCCTGTTTTCTGGGTAAGTCCGCAATGAACAGGGCTCTCATGTAGGGGGGAAGTGGTTGGAGGTGTTGAAAGAGTTGATGAATGCTTTTCCCCATTTAACAGAATATTCAGAGGTCTTTAAGGTGCATTCATCTGAGACGTGCACCATCTGCTGTGGTCTCTGCTGGAGCAGGGGCCTTGCAGAGCCTGGTGCACATGCAGAGTCCCCCGGAGGAGCTGTTGCAGCCAAGGCAGTTACTGCTGGTTCAGGTAGATTTACTTTACATGGGGGGGGGGGGGGGCAGCTCAATTTTGCTTGGTTTCTTAAATACTTTATATTATTTCTCAGCAAATTTGGATTCTCCTGTGTCTTTAGAGCGCATGTGGATGCAGTTGATTTCCTGGGGGTTTTAGACAGCTTCATTCAGAGCCGTTTAGAAAATTATTTAATCACCTTGGAAAATCCTGTGGAGCCAAAAAATCTTGTGTTTACTTATTACTCGGTTGTAAATTGCTGGTGCAAAACATAGTAGCACCAGGTTGTAAAACTGCACGTAAGCCTCCACTGAAACCCAGTGCCAAACGGAAAAGCAAACCAAAGAATTAACTCTGTGCATGCAGTGACACCAATGTAAATGAATTCTGTCAACACAAGGCTGGGCAGGAGTTTCTGAGGTTGCTGCAGAGCCGAGTAACTCCAGGTCCAGGGTAGCTCCGGGGTGACACACTGAGTGAGGATGTGATCCTATTGACGCATTTTGAAACCCCTTAATGACTCATCCGTGTGCCATTAGAAGCTTGTGCTTGCTCAGTGTGTGTTTGACTGGCGAAAAGGGGCTGTGTTTAGCACCCTTGGGCAGACAGCCCTTCCTACTGCTGCTGATGGGCAGGGCATGGAGGCACAGGCACTGGGATGCAGCAGGCACTGGGATGCAGCTCAGTGGTGGGTACCTGCCTGTGACCTCAGTCCCCCTCCTGCTTGTCCTCAGAATGGGGTTTTCAAAGGCACAAAGTCACCACCCTTCGGTTCAGCACTGCCCTGCTGTGAAAAGAAGCATGAGCTGGTGTCCCCTTTCATCACAGCCTGGTTTGGTTTGGAAGGGATATTAAAGCTCACCCAGTTCCAACCCCCTGCCATGGGCAGGGACACCTCCCACTAGAGCAGGTTGCTTCAAGCCCCTGTGTCCAACCTGGCCTTGAGCACTGCCAGGGATGGGGCAGCCACAGCTTCTCTGGGCACCCTGTGCCAGCGCCTCAGCACCCTCATAGGGAAGAGTTTTTTCCTCATATCGGATCTCAGTCTCCCCTGTTCTGGCAGGTTAAAGCCATTCCCCTTGTCCTGTCCCTACAGGCCCTTGTCCAAAGCCCCTCTCAAGTTTTCTGTAGCCCCTTTAGGCACTGGAGCTGCTCTAAGGTCTCCCCTTCAGGAGCCTTCTCCAGGCTGACCAGCCCAGCTCTCTCAGCCTGGCTCTATAGCAGAGCTGCTCCAGCCCTCGCAGCATCTTTGTGGCCTCCTCTGGACTTGCTCCAACAGCTCCACATCCCTCTTATGTTGTTGCCCTCAAGAGCTGAGTGCAGGACTGCAGGGGGTGTCTCATGAGAGCAGAGGAGATTGGGAGAATCCGCTTCCTCGACCTGCTGGCCAAAACACAGATATATTGCGGGATGCATTCGACATTCTTATGTTTCTCAGGCTGGAGTCACTCCTCTCTGCTTGCCAGCACAGGGTACTGTACCCAGTGCGTGTGTAAGAGCCTCTTCATTTTAAGGGACAAAATCCAGCCTTTTCCCTGCACGCAGGAAGAGTGTTCCGGGTGCCTGGTGAGGGGACACAGCCCTGGCTGAGTGCTCCCACTGGTTTCATGAAGTGGTGTCACCCTTGCTCTCATGCGGCAGCCTCAGGATCCGCCTCGCGCTCATTCAGGAGCTGCAGCATCGCCGCCACGCATAGACTGATCTCAGCAGCATCCCTCTCGTATTTCCCCTCCCTGGCCCACTTCCAGCATCTCCCGCATGCAGCCGGTTATTACTGTAGCATCCAGCATGTTTTACTTCATATTCATCTCCCTTGCACATACCGGCCCACTCACATATTAGATCCAGCTCTTTTTATCCATTTCTTTTTGCCTGTAGCTCGTCAAAGTGGTGATGCACGACCCGCCATGTGCTGGGACGCATCCTGACGGCACAGCGTGGAGCAGCCATCTCCACTGCTCTCGGATGCGTCGCTGGATGGACCCACTTGCTCTTGCAGCAGCCCATCTTTGGAGGAGGATGCTGGATGCAGTAAATGGTGATGACATAAAAAGGTGTCTGGGCTTTTAATATACATATACATATACGTATACATATACACTTCTTGCAAAGCAGAGAAAACTGCAGCCATTTGGTGTGCTCAGAGGTTGCTCCACTCGTCTTAGATAATATTTGTCTTTTCTTTCTTGTAGGTGGTGGCGGCCACATTAGCTGAAGATGACTCCATAGGGCAGGTTGGAACCACATAAGGTTCCCTGCTGTGTTGCTAGCATTGAAAGTTGAAGTGCCAGAAACAGTGTGAATACAGTTTTCAGCATGTTAAACATGTGGCCAGTTTTAAAGGACTATCACTCCTCATAAAGACAGAGAAAATTTTCAAGCTCGATAGGAACAATGGATTACAAATGATAGGGAGAGTGAATTGTATCTTCTTGCTGAGGAGCTGCCATGAGAGGCTGGGGAAGGCAGTTCCAGTGCATGGCT